TATCCCAGACTCCTCTGAGCTCCCACACAAGGAGGAGACAAACACTCCCAGTGCAGGTTTATCTCAGATAGATCAGTTTCCTTCTTGACTGGATCACTGCATATCTGACAAACTCCACACAGTTTCACTAATAATAGACAACTGTAAAGAACAGTGTATAATCTTGGAAATAACATTAATGCTCATGAAGGATGTTTGGAAAGTTAACTGATTTCAAGCTTGTCCAGCTTCTGTCCTGTCAAAACTGTGATGGCTTGTGGTTTGTGAGTTTTCTTTTTCAGTATTGTGTGATGGTTTTATTCTGAATGGACAATGGTGCCTCACAAAGACATTTTAGTTATCAAAATGGCTGAGAGGAAATTGGCCAGATTTGCTATTGCATGTACTGGAATTCCATGCTTTGCTCCCATTTCTTGCCCTGATGGGCTCAGGCTGCCCCGTGACCCTGAATCAGAAGAAGCTGTGATGGATTGATGGATGTTTTATAAATAAAGCGATATAGACATATTGCAGTGTCTGTGTATGATTTGTTAAGGCTTTACAGATAATGGACAGGTGTAAGTACTGCTAACATGTACTCTACATTGGAGAGGAGGGTGGAGTGTTTTTATTCCCTAGTTCGAATTTATGGACACGTCCCTGACTGCTATCAACAGAACCTTCCCGAATCAGTCATTGGTAATATTATTTTATAACACACATACAACCAGATCTATTTAAATCAGTTTAATTCAGATGTGTTTCATAGCCTGCATTTTCACTTCCTAGAACTGCTCTTTAATTATGTTCATTTATACCCTAACGGGGAGCATAAATAAGCTTTGTGAGCTACAGGAAAGTTTATCATTGTTTTTATATTGTCAACCTCAACTGACAACATGCAGTGTCCAGCCCCAAGAATCACAATGAAATACTGTACAAACATTGGTCAGGAATTTCAGTTTTACCATTACAATTAAAGATTTCTCTTTGACCACAAATGTTCAAAAGATCTGTCATTGTTGCATAATCACATTTAAGTATATTTAATTATATTAAATCTAACATATACTTTGTCTTCATAAATACTAAATTAGTGTTAGAGATAGGCCACTGTAGAGTTTTAAAAAGAGATTAGTTTCAAGATCAAGTGTAAAGGGAATATAGGGTTGAATTAAAATATATTCAAGATTATCACTGCTATCACTTGTTCGAGTAAGTGCACAGTAAGGCCAGTGAAATTTTAGATTTGATTTCAGTTGTTTATCAGTGAGAAAAAGGTTATGGAATGCAGTTCTGAATAAATGAATTGACAAATGTACTAATTTTCCTTTCATTGCTTTAAATCTAGTGAGACAGCCCAGGTGCTGATATGATTAGAGGGTCCAGGTCTTTATTTCCAGTAGAGAAGAATTGACTGTCTTGTTGATTTTCTCTTTGAAAGTGTAAATGTTGGAGTGATCTACAGCATTGTAGAAGGAGAGTCATCTCTCTGTAGTCCACATGGACCCCTACTCTCCTGGTAATGCTCATCACCTTCACCGCAGTCCCAGGGTCAGTCAGAGTTTCCAGCTCTGATCCAGCCCAAAGACTAAGGGCTCTCTCTCTGGGACTATATATTTCCGGGTCTTTC